TCGGCAGAGGCACAAGCCTGGGACAGAGAAATAATAGGAATGTTAAACTGGGAGCTCAACAATTAGCCAAGGAGAAGCTGTGGGGAGCACATTATTCTTCTTCCTTAACTATTCCTGGTGGACTGTGGATTCTTGTAACACCATTTTTTATTGCAGAGGAGCAGCAGTGACTGCAGGAGTCTGTGTTAGAGGAATTCTGCTCCTCTGGAGGCTGGGAAGACAAAAAAGCCTCGATATGAGACAAAACCTCAGCTGACAGAAGCCCTTTTGCCCACACAGACCACAGATGTCACTTCATGGAGCAAACAGGGCAGAGGCAACGCTTCAGGATGAGAATGACATTCAAATAGCACCTCAGCCCCTTTGTGCCTCAGTTTCCCTCTTATTGAGAAGGCCAGTTCAGGGACTGAACAGGGAAAATTCTCTGGGGATTTTCAGAGATGTACAGGATTCACCTCTGGTGTCTCCAGGTCTCATCTGAGTGCTCGTGCTCACACTCCAGTGGGTGCAGGGACACCTCCCCATGATCCAGGAGTTTGGGATGGTGTTCCCCTGATGGTTTGCTCTGAAGGTTTGCACAGGGGTCCCCCTGGGCCACCCAGATACCCCCTGATCCTACAGAGGAAATTCCTGGGGCAAATCCAACCTGCTGACATCACCATCCAGCTCTGCAGCTCCCAGCAGCAGAGGAGGACCCTGAGCCTGGAAAGGTGGGATGAAGGAACACCAAGGAGAGGTGAGAGGTGGGGGGACAGTGCCTGGCATGCAGGGAGAGCTGTGCTTCCCCCCTCCTTGCACAGCATTGACACAGGGATGGGATGGGGGTGACTGAGCCCCCTGGAAGTCTCTGACCCCCTCTGGGTGTCTGCTGCAGGTTGGGAGAGGGGCAGAGAGGAGGAGATGCCTGTGAGAAAGGGTTGCCATAGCAATGGAGTAAGAGAGGACTCTGGCTGCTCACAGAAGTCTCTGGATGGATGTTCCGGAGCATCCTCAGGGCAGCAGAGACTCTGAGGCCTCAGGAATGGAGTGAGGGAAGGAAAGACCCACCAGGATCAACACTGCAGCTCCCCAGAACTGGTTGCACATCACTCATTCCTTTCCCCGTGCCAGAATGAGCTCTGACAGGAGAGGAGCTGCTGTGCTGTGTGGATTTGGTGAGCTGGGGGCTCCTCACCCTGCCAGAGCCCCCCATCCTGCAGGCTCTGCACAGGGATCCTGCAGAGGTGGAGAACAAATCCCCTGCCACCCCATAGACCCCGAGGAGAGCTGGTTTCCCTGGATTTTATTATTCAGTGTTTACCCACCCAATCCTTTTCTGTAGCAGCTGAAATCCTCTCCTGCAGAAAATCGGCCTGGTCCCAAAATGACCTTCAGCTCCCCTCCCTTGAAAAGGACAAAATTCCAGCTCCAGGAAGAGCTGTCTGATCCTGAGGAGCTGGAATTGATCCTGTCAGGGTCAGATGTTCTCTGTCTGCTCAGGATGGTGGGGACAGGATGGAAAGGGCTCTGCCCATGCTGGAGGGGTCATGGCAGAGCCCTCAGTGACACTGAACACGCTGCCCAGGGAGACCTTCTGGCCACACTCCTGTCTGTGAGCTTGTTCCTTTCTCCATGGAAAAATGACAGCACTGATGAGACCAAAATGGGCACTACAGGCATAGATGTGGACATGACATTCACAGAGAAACAGGGAAAAGGGAAAAAGAGGGGCTTTCCATTGACATATGACCTAGAGCAAGGTGAGAGTTTGCTCCAGCACTTCCTTCTGCCCAAATGGCCTCCAGAAAGAGCCCTGAACACTGCAAGGGAGGAGGGGAGGGCAGCGGGGGCTGCAGAGAATCCATCAGAGGAGTGGAGAGATGCAGAGATGGCTGCCCCAGCCCTGGCAGTGTCCAAGGCCAGGTTGGACAGGGCTTGGAGCAACCTGGGATAGTGGAAGGTGTCCCTGTCTATAGCAGGGGGTGGGTGAGCTTTATGGAAGGGACCTCCCTCCCAGCCCAAACCATTCTGTGATTCTGTGAGATTAGAGGGGACCAGTTTGCACTCCCTGCCCCAAGGCACTTCTCCCTGGCTGATTTCCAGCATCATGGCAGAGTCAGAGCCTGTTTCAGTAAACACATCTGCACCTTCCTGCCCGACTACACCCCATCCCTCCTGCGTCCTCCACACAGCCTCTAGCAGGCTCCTGGTGAGGCAGCAGGGCTGAGGCTGCTGCCTGCTTCAGATGGACCCTTGCAGCTCCATTTTCAGACCAGTTAGGCTCTCCTCGATCAGCAGATTTCCAGGCTTTGTGTGGAAATCCTGCATGAAGAAGTATCTGGCATTCCAGCAAACCAGTCTTCCAGTCAGCTGGAAGTATCTGCAAACTGGGGAGATGAACGGGGTCAATGCTTTCAACCCATCAGCCCAAACCAGGTAGGATTCCTTTTAGGAGGGAAAGGATTAAGGAGCAGAAGTAAAGACAAGTTTTCAGGCTCTTAGTGAAGTCACCATGTCCATCCTTGGTGTGTTCTGAGCTCCTTGGTGTGTGGAGCCACGGATTATGGGCAAGGGTTTCTTCTCCATGCACTGCCCCAGGCTGCCAGCAGGTTTTGGAGCTAATCTCAGGGTTGGCACAGCTAACCTGTTCCCAGAGATGCCCCCAAAGGACCTGTGGCATGGCACAGCTGGTTGCTCCCCCTTTGCTCCACTGCCACCCCAGGCACGGCCACATTTCAGCAAGGAGACCTCTGTGCCTGTGTGCCCAGGGTAATGAAAAGGGCTGGGATTCCTTGGGAATGAGCCAGGGCAGGCTGAGAAATGCTCTCTTCCCAGGAGATTAGTACGGGGAGCTATTTTTTTCCCCCAAATGCAGCATGCAAGGGTGTGTTTTCAGAAAGAAAAAAACAACCTAACCTTTTTGTTTTGTTTTGTTTTGTTTTGTTGAGCTCCAATCTGCCCAACACTGAGCTCAGCCCCTGCAGGGACAACGCCAGAGCCAGCTCCCACTGGAGACCCCCAGGCTCCAAGTTAACATGATCAGGGGAGAGGGGTCAGCCCCTCGGTGACCCCCTAATCCCCTTTACATGCCCCCTGTCCCATCCAATTATCCAAACCATGATCGTCCAGCCTGTCCTCAGACCTGCCTTCTCCCAGTGCTGAGCTGCACTGTGGGATTTAATATCATTTAAGATCAGCCGGTTGCAAACAGACCCTCCTCTCCCTCCCCCCAGAAGGGCTACGCTGCTCTGAGGCTGATTATTTTTTTTTTTTTTTTCTTTTTCCCTGCAGTGTCTCTGCTACATTTTGCAAACACCTAATGGCTGCAGGGCTGCTGCAAGCCCAGAGCCCGGCAGAAGCCGGATTCTTCCCGTTCTGGTGGATTTTTGTGGTGTACAGATTCTCCCCCACCAAGCCCCCCATGAAGTATGGGGGGGGGGGGGGGAATTTAATGGGCATTTGAAAGCAGAGAAAAGCCGGGATGCAAAAACCAGCAGCAGCTCCCGTGTGCTGAAATGATGGCTGGCACAGAGCAAACCCACAGCAGCCAAAACAGGCTGGAAAGTGGGGAGTTCCTGGGATCCAGGGGACGAGCAGACAAAGCCGGAGGAATCAGCTGGGCACAGCCCCTCGCTGGAAGCCAGAAACTTGTTTTTCATCCATCCCCACCTCCCCTCCGCTGAGGTCTCCGATGTGGAGAAGCTCCGGAGCGTGCAGGATTGTGGAAAAACGGGGGGTGCATTGCAGGAAAACAGGGATGGGGGGTCCTTGGAGGGAGAGGTGTCAGCGGTCCGGGCTGTGGGATGGGGATGCTGCCTGGTGTGGGATGGGGATGCTGCCTGGTGTGGGATGGGGATGCTGCCTGGTGTGGGATGGGGATGCTGCCTGCTGTGCAGCACCCCGGGGCGCTGGGGCTGGGCTTGCACAAACACTCTCGCTGGGAGGAGTGCGGGCTGGCGCTATTATTTTAACAATTAGCCGCAAGCTGTTAGAAAGGGCTCTGAAGAAGTTCTGGCTGGGCTTTTTTCCCCCCTCTCCTCGGTGTAAACGTGAGCTGCGAGGGCCAGACGTGAGCAGGTGGAAACCTGCTCTGGTTCAAACACCCGAGGCAGATCCGCCCTGCGAAGCCACCACGCTCATCCCTCCATGTCTGCACTGCACAACCCCACAAACCTTTCCAGGCTGGGAAAGGTTCCGAGGCTCCTGCACATCTCAGGCTGGGGGCAGAAGGAGCAACAGGTGACTGTCCCGAAAGCCGGGCAGCCTCTCCCCTGTTACACCTCACCCTGTGCGGGAAAATCCTCCTGGAGCGGGTGAGAAGCTCCACGCTGCTCCCAGCTGAGAGCAAAATCCACAAACATCATGGGAACGGAGGATTCCGACATTCCCAGTCAATGGGGAGCCGCCGTGCCGCCCATCTCCAGGGAATGTCGCCGAGGCAGGAGATTGAGGCTGGGGGGACACTTTGCAAACCCCAGCCCCGCCAGACCCCGGGGCTGCTCGCTGGGGTCCCCATCACCCCTCTCTGCTGCTCCCCAGCTCCTTGCCGGGGTCCCCTCCAGCCCCGGGCAGCTCTCCGACATCTCCCGTGCCGAGTGTCCCCAGGGTGGCTCTGTCCCCCCCAAGCCACCACCAGCAACAAACTCACCGGGGCTGGAATCAGAGCGGGGACATCTGGGCTCCCTCCTTCCACCTCGGGTCCCCAACTTGGTGTTTGCAGAGCGGTGTCACCAGTGCCTCCCGGAGCCTGTCTCATCCTCCTCCTCTGTGTCTCGCTTCAGAAATCTGTGCGTGTGGTGGTTGGTTTGTTGTTGGTTGTTTTTTTTTTTTTTTTTCATTTAGGGGACTCTTTTTTTTTTTTTTTTTTTTTTTTTTTTTTTTTTCCCAGCCGTTGCGTCAGGGCTGTTGCCTGGAGACAGGCGAGCTATTCCAGTTTGAGCTTTTCAGCGCCGATTTCCTCTCTCTCTTTCATTCATACCACCAAGCCCTGAACCTACCTCCCACCAAGCAATAACCCTGGAGAGACCTGAAAGGGAGGAGCTGCACAGCCCGGGTCCTAAACATCCTCCGGCACCCAGGAGAGGGAGGAAGATCGGCGATGCTTTCGGCGTGGAGAACAGGGATGGAGCGGTCCAGGGGAGGGCAGGTACCTCGAGGCTTGCAGGAGATGCCCCGAGAGCTGCGGTGCTCCCGAAGGAATCTGTGGCTCTTCCCAACACCAACCTGCTGGTGCCCCCATGCAGATCGTGTTTCTTTCCATGGATATCAGCCCCACAAGGAGTTTGGGCTCCTCTGGCATTCAGGAGAGCTTTGGGATAACGTTTGCCCACTGCGTGTGCCGAGGGGAATTTTGCGAGGATGCATCAGCACCTCTGGGAAGCCCCAGGGTGGTGCCTCGGGGCTCCCTGGCTGGTGCCATCCATCCCCGGGCAGAAACCAGCTTGGGAACCAGCCTGCTCCTGAATTTTGTGTTGGGAAAGCTCCTGTTGCTTCCACAGCTGCCCCAGCGGGGCTGGAAACCATTTTAGCTGCCTCCGATGAGGTCCAGAATCAAAGGCAGGGGACAGAGGGGATTTCCTTCCTTTTTTCCTTCTTTCACCAGAAGTTGGAGGTTAACCCCTCCAATCCTGGGGGCCGCTCTCCAAAGCATCCCACACATCACACATCTGGGGGCTCAGAGCCACCGCCCGCGTTTGCAAAGCTGGTGCTGCGAAGGGTTAAGCCTTGGCCAGCGACCCCGAACCACCCAGGCCCCTCCCCCCATTCCCACATTCAGCTTTTGTGAGAGAAACCCCTCCACAGCCTTTTTATTCCTTTTTTTTTTTTTTCACCCTTCCCTTTTCCTGCCGGATCCATCCCCTCACCCCCCCTCCCGAGGGCAACAGGGAGATTTACAGCCCCTTCCTGAGCTCCAGCATGGAAGGGCTGGGATTTCCCACCTCCCTTCGAGTGCCAGGGGTACCCCAGACCCCACAGTAATTTAGAGGCTGTGCCTGAACAGCATTTGGAAGTCTGGAGTGCAGAGAAAGGGGGTGCCCTGGATGCAGCAATGCAGATTCAGAATGAACAGCAGCATTTTCACATTTCTGATGAAAATGCAAATTTTTTAATTTTTTTTTTTTTGCTTTTTTTTTTTTGCTTTGCCAGCATCCATTTTTGTCAGATTTCAGATCTGCATATGCAAACTCAGCCTGGTGATCAGCTCTCACTGTGCTGCAAGGAGGCACCTGGAGGCTGATGATGATGGAGAGGCACCACAGGAGATGGAAGAGCTGTTGGCTGTTTTAAAACTGTCTGACAAAGACCTGCAGGAGCATTTAACAGCAAAAGGAATCCCAGAATCCCAAGAGGGGTCAGGTTGGAAGGTCACAATAGATCAACTGTGCAGCCTCCCTGCTCCAACAGGGCCATCCCAGGGCACAGGGTTGTGTCCAGATAATTCTGGAATATCCCCACTGAAAGAGACTCCACTCCCTCTCTGGACAATCTGTTCAGTGCTTAGGAAAGTTCATCCTCATGTCCAGGTGGGACTTCCTGGGCATCCATTCCTGCCCATTCCTGTTCTCCTGTTGCTGGGTCCCACAGAGCAGAGCCTGGTCCATCAATCACGTAGAGGTTCAACGTTTCCAGCAACATCTCATCCAAATCAAAACAGATTCTGTGCCCATGAACCAAGCAGCACCAGGGAACATACAGGCACAGGGTGAAACAGCCCCTGGCCCGGTTTTGGTGTGGGATGAGCAATCCCAGGACATGGCTTGGGAATGACCAAGACTGGGGCCCCTTCCTGGCAAACAATTTGGATTCAGCCACCCAGATTTGATAGCCAGGAGCGTTGAATCACAGGGACTCAGGGCCAGAGCCCAGGTCTAGCAGGGTGAGTTTACAGCAGAGGTGTTGCTCCCAAGGCTGGATGTCTGTCTGTCTGTCTGTCTGTCTGCCTGTCTCCTCGCAGGAACAGACCACACACTGTCACCCGCTCCTTCTTCTGTAAATGTTTATTTTTAATTCGGTTGCGTAATGGATTTCAAATGAGCTGCCGTAAGATAGCAGTGAGAGGCTGCAGCCACATCCCTCTGAAGCCAGTCCGTGGGTTTGAATGTTTTTTTTGGCCTGGATTTATCTTGGATAAGTTGTGTTCATCAAAAAAAACACTGGTGGGGAGCTGCTGAAGAAGAGTGATGCTCCCACTGGTGATGCTCTAACACCAGCCACCTGCAATGGACACCTGAAATTAGGTGTGATCAGTCAAAATAAACCTGTGCAACACCAGCACTGTCCACATCTATGGCTCAGTATTTTTTGCTTTTCCTCAGACACAAGAAATCCTTTCTGTTGCCCATAGAGCTCCAGGGACTGCCAGTTCCCACAGCATCCCTGGGCACAGGACTTTTTCCAGAGGACTGCTGAGTCCTTGGGAACACACAGATCCAAGCCAGAGTTTTTGCTGGGATGAGGTTTTGCAAAGCCCAAGCTGGAAATTGCTTGCTGTAGTTGTAGCTTGTAGAATCATGGAAGGGTTTGGGTTAGAAGGGACCTTAAAGATCCTCTCATTCCACCCCTTACCATGGGCAGGGACACCTTCCACTGTCCCAGGCTGCTCCAAGCCCTGTCCAACCTGGCCTTGAACACTTCCAGGGATGGGGCAGCCAGACTTCCTTGGGATCCCCTGTGCTGATCTGAGCACCACAAACTCTCTAAGGTGCTTTAGAACCCCCTAAATCTTACTTGAACCTTCTGAGCTGCCTCTTACCACCCAAAAATGGGCAGAAATGGCCATTCCTTTACCACAACAGCAGCAGCTCAACTCAGTTTGGATTTTAACCTTCTGCTTCTTGCCCTTTCTGCTGGATTTTTGTGGTTTCTCCCTGCAGGTATCCTGCTAACAAAGCGTGGAGGAGCTGGATCTCCTGGTAGGGTTGTGTGGCCATTCTGTGGGACCAGTGCTGGAATCCTGCACAAGCATCAATGCTTTCTTCTCAGCTGGTCCTTAAATAAATACTTTTCCCCTAAAGCAAAGTCCCTGTAAAGAAAAGTTCCTGAAGTACCCAAAGGAACATATAGGAAAGCTGGGACAAGAACATGGAGTGACAGGGGAAAGGGGAAAGGGTTCAAACTGGAAGAGAGTGTCTTTAGATGAGATTTTGGGAAGAAATTCTTCCCTGTGAGGGTGGGGAGGTCCTGGTACAGGGTGCCCAGAGAAGCTGTGGCTGCTCCATCCCTGGAAGTGTCCAAGGGGTTAGACAGAGCTTGGAGCAACCTGGGATGGTGGAAGGTGCCCCTGCCCATGGCAGGGGGTGGAATGGGATGATCTTTAAGGTCCCTTCCAACCCAAACCATTCAGTGATCCTACAGCTCCCTGGGGCTTGGCCTTCCAAGGATGGGAAGAGGAGACTGTGGTGCCCCAACCATCATTGTCCCAATCTAGCCAGGAGGAGCCTCCACGCCCTCCACTGGGACTGGTACCAGGAGAGTCCTCGGGCATGGCTGGAGGATCACCTGGAGACATGGCAGAGGCACCTCCAGAGGGCAGCAGGTCCCCAGGTGATGCTGTCCCTTGGTGTCCCCAGGTGATGCTGCAGAGGTCACTTGTGGTCACCTGGCTGCTCACCTCCATTGATCACTGAGGGACCTGGCACTGCCCTGGTTCAGTCTTCAGAGAATTGTTGGATGGTTTGGGTTGGAAGGCACCTTAAAGATCATCTAATTCCAGCCCCTTGCCATGGGCAGGGACACCTTCCAGGAGATCAGGGTCCTTCCCTGGAGTATCTACTTTATTTTCTCTGCAGGTTTCTCCCAGGTAAGTCAAACATCAAAGAAAAAAGCAGAGGACAATTGTTCCTGAAATCCTACTAAAATCATGGTTGGAGTTTTCAGCCTATTTGTTTTTATTCAAATATAAAAGTAAATCCATTTGGTGATTCCATAACAAACTTTGTAAGTGTGTGCACTGAGTTAGTGAATTATTCTTCCCTCAACTCAAAAAAAATTCCCCAAGACCTGAAGAACTAGAAACCATTTCCAAATAAAATCAAGACCTTTTCCAAAGATTTTGACTGATTTGCAATGGATTTCCTTTGATAAACCTACTAACCCAATTCATTACAGCAATCCATAAAAGTAAAAAGCATTTAAAAATCTCAGGACTGATATATGTTTTTTTCCACTTCTCTTCTTTGCTGTAAAAAAGGGATTTCAATTCCACTTCCACTCAAAATGTTTGTTGTAAATTAATTCCAGAAATGCTAGTGAATAAAAATTCCTCCTCCAGCTTTACCTGTCCACCCATTAAGGCTACATCACCAAAACCTACAGGTCTGGAGAGGTCTTTAAAAATGCTGTGATTGCCCTAAATTTATATCCTAGGCATTGTGAGGAAGGGGAAGGTAAGAAAAGCCCATCTCAGACTCCTGCTTTAAGTTGGGGTGAATGAAGGGTGGAGTCTGCAGCTTCCCTCCCCTGTCACCCCAGGATCACTTCCTCCTCACTCCTGCAGCAAGAACTGGGTGGAATTCCCTGGATTTGGAACTGATGGTCAGGGAACACAGTTCTACTTCAGCAATTGGTGGCTTGACAAAGAGAATCTGGACAATCTCCTCAATCCAGGACAATAAAATGGTAGACCAATCATTGGATTTTTATCTTTTTTTTTTTTTCTTTCACCCCAGCTGTTGGAATTTTTCTCTATTTCTAAATCAAACTGAGTATTTTGGGGACTTTAAAATGTGAACAGCACTTGAAATGTGATTGCTTGTTAGATTCCTCTCCTTTGCTGTTTGTTCAGACTGATGAATGAGCCATAAAATCAAATGTTTGTCATACTCCCAATGTTCACTATTCCAGAGAGATCCATACTTTGGAATTTACCTCCAGACAACTTCTCCAGCAGAAATACATCAGAAGAAGGGTGTTATATCAGCCAGTGGTGATCCTTGAAACCCCAGGATCAAGACTGAAGATCCAACTTTCTCTTAAGTAATATTTCCATCCCTCATTAAAAAAAAAAAAAAATAAAGCTGATAAACATCCCATTGCTCAGCCAGTCTCAGCCAGGATCCCTGCTGTCCTTCTTGATGAGGCTTTGGCTGGTCTTTCTTTCTCCTTGTCTCAACATGCAGCTTTACCTGCATCTTTATTCTGGCTTTATCCAGGATCCAGCAGGATCAGGAGGTGACACTCATCAGCTTCCTGGCCTTCAGATGAGTTGGTGGGTCTGGAACCCTGGGCTGAGGGTGGAAATGAGGATGATGGAGCTTCACAGCATTGCACGGTAAAAACAGGAAGGACCTGGAGCTTCTGGAGTGATCCTGGAGGAGGCCACGGAGATGTTCCAGGAGCTGGAGCTCCTCTGCTCTGGAGTCAGGCTGGGAGAGCTGAGGGTGTTCCCCTGGAGAAGAGAAGGATCCAGGGAGAGCTCAGAGCCCCTTCCAGAGCCTAAAGGGGCTCCAGGAGAGCTGGAGAAGGATTTGGGACAAGGGATGGAGGGACAGGACACAGGGAATGGCTTCCCACTGCCAGAGGGCAGGGATAGATGGGATATTGGGAAGGAATTCCTGGCTGTGAGGGTGGTCAGGCCCTGGCAGAGGGTGCCCAGAGAACCTGTGGCTGCCCCTGGATCTCTGGAAGTGTCCAAGGCTGGGCTGGATGGGGCTTGGAGTAGCCTGGGATAGTGGGAGATGTCCCTGCCCATGGCATGGTGGAACATGATCTTTATTTTCCCTTCCCACCCAAACCATTCTGTGATTCTCTGGTGCCCAAATGCCCTTGGGAATGGAAGGCTCTGAAATCCCCCCGTGCAGTGAGATTTGAACTGGGCCTCACCCACGGCAGCTCCAGATGTGCTCTGGGTGCTCAGCACAGGCAGAGCTTTCTGCAGTACCACAAAGAGTTAATGGCACCAAACAGAGGGAAGGCAGATCTCACAAAATCTCTCACACAAGCAATAAAGGGATACCAGGACGTGCTGTCAGCTGTCTCCTGTGCTCTTCCCCCTGCGCCCTAAATGGCATCAGCTGTCTTGTACTCATTGAAGAAAGGAGGAAGAACATGACATGTCTCTTTAGGTGAGATCTGAAGCAGAAGCAGAACCTCAAATGGAAAGTGAGTGAGGTTACAGCCCCGTAACCCAGCTGAGTACAAAAAAAGAAACTTCTCAGACTCAAACCTGACTGGTGATAAGCTCTCTGAAAGTCAAGTGCACGCAATAAATAACCCCACCCCTTCTATCGGCTCAGACTGCTCTGAGCTGTGAATGGGCCAATTTAGACAACTTCAGACCCATATTTCCCCTCCCATTTTCAGACCAGCTTTATACCCTGAGGCTCCAGGGGCTGACTTTGACCTCACCCCAACCTGAATGAGAGCAGTTCAGGGTCCTGTTGAAGCAGGACCGGACTTCTTACAGCCTGAGGAGCCTTTGTGGGTTCTTCTAAGGTAGACCCAATTCTAATATTAGTAGGGTGTGAGAAGTGTGGTCATACCACCAGCCCTCCACTGCTCTAAGTGTAACAAACCAGCCCCATTTGTCATTCAGCTGTTGGCAACAGGAAACCACCAACAGCAACTCAACAACAAGAAGAATTAGGGTTTTCTCTTTCTGCATACTCCAAGGATTGAAACTCATCAAAAGGACCTGATGGTTCCAAGCTGATGATCTGGAAGGGGATTTTCAACTCTGGTGGACAGCTAAGATTGAGCAGATTATGATTTAATCTGAACACAGGACTCTCAAGGTAAGTGCAAATGATTTTCCAGCAGTTTTTGTCCTTCCTGCTGCCTGTTTGTTGTCTGGTGCTCCACTGGGCAAATTCCCTTAGGGTATTTAAACATTTGGCCCATCTATGGACCAGTGATTATTACAACCTTTAGGGTGGGATGTCCAATGAGCCAAACTGCTGCTGTGGACAAGGATAGGGGGTGTGTCTGTCTTTCCTTCTGGCAGCTTCCCAGTGCTGGAATTGGGAACACGCTGAGGTGGGACTGATGCTCCAAGTCGGGCGCTCACCCCGTGGGTTCTCTCTCAGGCACAGGCCAACCTTCTTTCTCTTAAAAATAGTGAAAGTAGGTGATAGCCAGGGGTGAATGAGTTTCATCCAACTGAATTTCTTGGAAATGAGAGTGACAGGAGAAAGTGAAATCAGGGACTCAGCTCTGAAGTTGAGGGGAGGTGGAAGTTTGGGTACTCAGCTTCCAACAGAACAACTTTTGGGTGCTGCAGACAGTGCAAGGAAGGGTCGAATCTTTAATTTCCCATTTGTGGAGATGCACATTTCAGATTTTTTTGA